GGCAGTCTTATATGTTATAGCTTATCCTAGTATATAAATTACATGTGCCTTGGATATTTATGTTTGAAACCATTTTACTAGGTCTCTTTTCAGTTTTATTTTTCAACTACCTTTGTTTCACTTCAACCACTCTGTATGTCATCAAATGTTAGATTGACAAGCACATTCATGAAAATTGGTTCCTCAATTTCTATCCCTCAAAATATGAGTTGGATCTTAATGAATATGTCTCACTTGATTGGATTTCCAAAGACTTTAGATTATTTTAAAACCACATCATCTAACAGCTTGCTATCTGTCTATTATCATTATTGATGAATCTCCTCCTTGATCAAACTTTTTATAAGGAAATTTTCTACCAGATTCTCCTAGTTTTTGTGATGGGAGAAAGTATATGCTTTTTATGTGCACCCCTTTCCCTTAAAGAGTAGCCTTTTTTTTTGGTCCATACCTCATTTAAGACAGTGCTCTTTGATATAGTAAGCTAACACAACTCAGAATTAACTACAATAATCACTTCTACCTTTTATATTCCATTTTCATGCATCTATGCTCAAACACAAAAATAGCTTTCTTTTTTTTGAAGGGTTCCTTCACCTTCTTTTACTCGGAATTTATTTGCTTTCCAGATATACCTTGCTTCTTGCTTTAAATTTACCTCTTTAATATTTACCTGGCAGGGTAGATACAATGATAACGAAGATGGTTTTCTCAGGATGAGACTTATCCATTGCACTTCCATGTACTGACCCCTGCCATTTCCCCAAATGTGGGAAACCTGATGCATAATTTGTGGTAATGTGTGCGGGGGTACCTCTTTAAGATAGTCTTTCATAGAATTATTAATTGACTCGTCTCTTTTCCTATTCCTAAGTATCTTTATTTCATCTTATATTCACCTGGGATAGTTTTATTTCCTTCACTGAAATAAACCTCATTGATCAGGCGGAAACTCTATACAGAGGAATTCATCCACCCCTTCCATCAATTCCCCAGAAGCATCTCTTGCACGTTTGCTGTATTGAAGACTTTTTAATAGATGCATCACTAAGAATTGTCTCTGATTCGTCACCTCGCAAGACACACTTCGAGAGGGCAGTTGACAGTTTCTGTACCTTTCAAGAAGGATTAGCTAACACCATTATTTTCACTTTATTCCAAAACATGAGGCTTTTATTCTCCAGAATGAGCAAGTTTTTCCCAATTGGTAGCAGGCTTCTCCTTGCTTAGGTCAAAGGATTGTCCAAATGAAGAGGAACAAATACAGGCTGTCAAGCAGGTTGCTTTATGTTTCCTTTTTAGAGGATTATTAACATAAATAGATTAATGGGAACAAAATTATGGAAAAAAGGAAGAAATAGCATATTAAAAGCTTATGAAAGTACGTGACTTCAATAATAATTTAAAATTTAAATGAAAACAATTTGTGTGTGTGTGTGTGTGTGTGTGTGTGTGTGTTCAAAGAAGCAAATAAAAGATAATACCTAATGGTGAGAATGTATCAGACACTCATATATTATGATTGATATCTACATGGGCACACTTTTTTGGGAAAGAAATTTGGTAATATTTATCAAATATTGATACGCATCATACAACAATAGAAACAATGAAAATGGAATATGTTGCAGCCATTTCAATTAAAGTTTTAAAAGAACATGTAATGCCAGGCCAGCATGGCTCTGTGGTTGAGCATCAATCTATGAACCTAAAGGTCACAGTTTGATTCCAAGTCAGGGGACATGCCCAGGTTGTAGGCTCCATCCCAAGTGTGGGGCATGCAGGAGACAGCCAAGCAATGGTTTTGTCTCATCTCCCTCTCCCTTTCTCTCTGAAATAAATAAAAATATATTTAAAAAACAAAAGAACATGTAATAACATTGAACATACTTATAATAGTATTTCAAGAAAGGACAATGAAAGTTAATCACACTTTTCAAAAGTATGACCCATGCATACAAATAAATGCTAAAGAAAAATATACTAACTTAATAGCAAAGGTTATGTTTGAAGGGTGGGCTATTATCTATTTTTATGTATTTTCCAAATTCTTTAATATCAAATGAAAATTAACACTACTTTGTACTTGATATAGTACCATTTTGAATACTAGATATCACAATAAAAAAGTAATCAAATTAATTGCTCTTAGGGATTTGAAAAGCTGAATGCTTTCAATCTTCTAAAGAAATGATAAATTATGAAGTTAGTTAAGGATAATTCTTTCTCTGCCCCTCCTCTATATATATATACATATACATATATATGTATAATCTTTCAATGATATACACATAAATACTACATGTATTTATCTCTCTCTATATATATATTCAAGGAATTTTCCAATTTATGAAAGAAATAGAATACTTTTTAGCATTAAATTAAAAAACTACCAGTATACTATTTGCTCCATCAAAATTGAGAAAAATTATGTTTAGCTTTAATTTAGTTTTAGTTTTCTACATGGGATTGTGCAGAGAAAAGTAATCCTGAAACTATGATAAATGTTAATAGAAAAAAAGGGCCTAAATTTATATGTAATATTTTGCTTTTTTTGAGTGAGAGATTTATAAGATTAGAGAACCTTTAATGGTCTGGCTCTTACAAAATGCATTTCAAATGCCCGGATTTCCTCAGCCCCTGTGTGTGTGTGTGTGTGTGGGTGTATAGGTGTCACCCTGCCTGATTGTGAGAAGAGGACCATGTAAATACAACCAGAGGGAATAAAACCAATTCAAATTAAAAACACTTTAAAGAATGCTTTGAAAAAGTGTCTTTAAACAAAGTGAAATATTTTCACTAGATTTTTCATGTCAGACTTAAATGTCACAAATAATTAACTCCTATCATCTCATCCTTTTGGTCTATCCTAATGTATACTTCCTCACTAATATAAGCATTTGCTTTCCAGTTTGGTTGTAGATTTCAGTCTGTTCCCAAATGTCATATTTAATAAAAGCACAGACAATAAAAGGAGGAAATATTTTTCTAATTTGGGAAAGGCACATCTCAATATATATATATATTTATATATGAAGAGACCAAGGCTTAACCTAGAATTGCACTGAGCCAGTAAATACTGTTTCTAAGTCTTTAATTGTCTAAGTTGTGAGTTTTCTTTCTGAGTTTTCCTTCAACTCTTTTTTTTAAATCATCTTTCTTTCATATAAATAAATTTCACTTTTGTTCAAAGCCCGTCTCTAAGTACCACACACACTATTTATGGATTAAGGGCAACCATTTTAAAGCATGCAAAGCCTTCCATGTTATAATTTCTACTCACTTCCTCACCCCATACCATGCATTTAGGCTTTATTGGACTGTTCCAGAGCTTTTTAAAACATATACCATAGGATTTCATGTGTTTATGCTGCTGCTCACGCCATCCCTTCTGTTATTCTTCCTTCTATCTACTTGGTATACTCTTTCGCATTCTTCAGGACAGCATGGTTCAACACAACCCCACACTTAAATTTTATGGCACATGAACAAGGGAGTTTATTTATTTATTTTTTTCATTGTATTTGGGCACCCTACCATAACATTACCTATTTTATTCATTACTTATGTACACTAGATTAGATTGTTTTTAGTTTTCTATCACCAGGAACTGTGATAGAAAGTGGTTTGGATTTGGAGGGTGTTTATTCATGAATGCACCAAGTAAGACAGATGATTGAACTTCAACTTAGTTCTTTTTTAAAAAACCCATCCTCCTCCTCTACCCCCTAGTTCTGGCACTCATCCTATGTCAGTAAAAGTTATAATCTCTATATCATTTTATGTTCGTGTTGGGAGGCCCTAGAGGGAGCCTTTATTTCTTGGCCTTCTTTGCAAAGTATCAAAGGAGAATGCTGCAGTATTTCCTGATTTACATAGACACATGACAAGTGAGAGCTTCCCCCCAGCCAATGAGAACCTTTGCCTGCCGGATCAACCATGGGATTGAAGGACTAAATTATGAATTTCAAAACTCAGTTGAAGCATGAATGTTCAAGTTTTGAGAAATTTATATGTAACATTTTAATAATTAAAAATCCTTTTTTAAAATTAAAATCAATGTTTGCCATTGTTTCCTACACTTACATATCTGATACTAGAGAGGGATTTAAATAGGCTGCTTTGCTCCAGTGTTCTACTTACTATTACCCATTGCTTTAAAATTTGGAGCACAGAGCCGAAACCGGTTTGGCTCAACGGATAGAGCGTTGGCTTGGTGACTGAATGGTCCCAGGTTCAATTCCAGTCAAGGGCATGTACCTTGGTTGCGGGCATATCCCCAGTAGGGGGTGTGTAAGAGGCAGCTGATCGATGACTCTCTCTCATCGATGTTTCTAACTCTCTATCTCTCTCCCTTCCTATCTGTACAAAATCAATAAGTATATTAAAAAAATTTTGGAGCACAGAACTTTATTAACCCAAAAGGTCAAAATGAAGCGAAAACAATATATTTTATTCTCTATTTGTGGAGAAAAGTCTATTCTGACATCCTTCTTGGCTTTATGTGATTACACTGTCTTTTTCCAAGCAGAAAATGGCAAGTCTTCAGGTTTCTTTAGAAATCCAACATTTTTTTTTTTTTGAGAGAAATTAAGCATCACATCTAATACAAGTAAAAAGCCTTTGATCCTTGGCATTATTAGATAGTAGCTACTCTTTAGGGTGAGATGCCTAAGGTTGTCTAGGTCATTCTATTCAGCTGCATAAGCAATTCCTTTGATGGGTGACTGGTTTTCTACAACACTAGCATTATTTCAGCAGGAGAAGGTAGTGTTTGATGTTTTGCAATTCGTATTACATGTCCATAGGACATCTCCGGGCATTACCTTGGGAGGAGGGGTTAAGAGAAGGAGGAGCTGTGGCTGAAGACATTTAATAACAGAATGAATGGAAATTCAAAGGTCCCTGTGCAGTCAGCCCTCAGCACCTGACGGTACTCCCCTCTCCCCAGCTTTCTTTCGCATTAATCATAAAATATATGTAATTTCATTTAATTTTAGTCACAAATCAACATCTTCAAAATGACGAGGATTTTGACAGCTTGCAAAGTAGTGAAGACCCTGAAGACTGGTTTTGGCTTTACCAATGTGACTGCAAAACATCAATGGAAATTTTCAAGACCTGGCGTTAGGCTCCTCTCTGTCAAGGTAATATTCTCATATTCATGGCTTCTGATAAAACCCTATGGCATGCAGTTTAGTGTTGAAGCAAATATTAGAATATAGTTCTGAAATGTTAACTTATTAACATTTACTTTACCATAGAACCTACTGGTTTACCTGATGCTTATTTTTATCTGCTCTCAGTCAAAATACAGCAATATTCACACACTACAAAAGGAGGGTCACAATTCCTGTTAACATGTAAACTGTCAGTGTTCTGTTTAGAAGGCAAATATTTTAAAAGGTCAGCACTACTGCTCACAGTTTGGGTTCAAACATGGGGTTGCTTTTATTCATGAGCCACATGATGCTGTGCTGAGCCCCTGTTCTATATATATTGTCTCACTGTAAACTTTTATCTTTTCAAATGTCTTCTTTTCTCTGAAAATGTTTGAAAGGAAAATATCTGATACTTGCAGATCTTCATGTAGACAATGATTTTTCCTTTTCCTCTTAGCCCTTCTTTAGAAGGCCAAATTTATGAGTTTTCGTTTGCAGAGTAAGACAGAGACAATTAGGAGCTGATAATTTGATAATTCTGTTCCTCTGAGTGTATGTATAACTGAAGAGCAGGTCCAGGAAGGGAACATTAAGTGCTCTTCCTTGGCCCAACCCCTGAATTTTGAGAGTTCACCAGACTTCTGTTCCTTTCTGTACCTTTGTGAAGACATTCATTACTGAAGCTACTCCATGGGAACTTTGACAATGCAAATCACCTGTTGTGAATATGAAGCTGGAGTGATCTCAGTAGTTCTTTAGTAGTAAGAGCTATGAAAAGTGAATTAGAAAAAAAAAAACCCGGACAATTTATCTCAGTGAATATAAAATTAGGTTGTAATAGTTTTAAGTATTCTGCTTATACTTTATATGTCCACTGGGTTGACTAAAAGTCCTTCAAAAGGTTCTACAGATTCTACTGCTTAGGTTTCTCCAGTCAGGGTTCAATATGGTTGTAACTGAGTGACAACTGTAGGGTTTGGCAATGCCCCTAGATTCTTATGGCCTTCACTGACAGGAATGGGAAAGGGACAGGAGTAAAAGGAAAGGAAAAGAGACAGACAGACAGAAAGAGACAGGCAGTAAGGAGTGAGAGATGGGAGGTGAGAGTGGGAGAGGGCAGACACACACACACACACACACACACACACACACACAGATAAAGTGAGAAAAGTAAGTCAAGATCTCAGGATAAAGTAATAAAAAAAACTACCATTTTAAATTAAGAAACCCAGGAACAACCATTTTTTAATCCGGATTAATTATAATAAGAGAGCAGTAAGGAGAAATATTCTAAAACATCACCAAAGATACAGTGAGGAGCTATAAACTATGAGAGTATCTGGTTTCAGTTCAGTGTGAGTGATATGTGAAAGGTACTCATATGTAACTTCAAAGAGAATAAATAGTAATGAGAACAATATTGCCTAGAGTTAGATTGTGGAAGGTATGCTGCTCTCAGGTCAATAAACACTGGCCTCTGCTGGTTGCCTTTCAGTGTCTTTAGAGGTCACTCTCCCCTTGGCGACAGAGAGGGTGGGTTTGATAACAGCAGTGACACATTTGTACTTTTATGTGGCCCTCCCTCCCTTTCCCTTGCATAATCGTTTGTGGCTAATATTTATATAACATACCTGCTAATAGACAGATATATTTCACTTATTGGAAGAACAACAAATTTCAAGGTGCCCTACAATTAAAAAGAATTTGATATGGCCCTGGCCAATGTTGCCCAATGATTACAGCATCAGCCTGCTCACTGAATGGCTGTGGGTTTGATCCCAGTCAAGGGCATGTACCTGGGTTGCAGATTTGATCCCTGGCCCCAGATAGGGTATGTGCAGGAGGCAACCAATTAGTGTCTCTTTCACATGAATGTTTCTCTCTCTCTTCTCCCTCTCTCCCTGCCTTCCACTCTAAAAATCAATGGGAAAAAAATATCCTTAGGTGAGATTAAACAAACAAACAAACAAACAAACAAACAATAATTTGATATTAAAGATATATATGATCACCACTGTAAAATATTAAAATATGAAGGTTTTAGAAACCATAGTCTCTTTCTATTAGTAGTGTAAGATGTTCGGTGCTCATTATTACATTCAGCCAATTGTAGTTGATTTGGATTCTAATCCTTCCTCTGCATTTATCAATGCTCTAAACTTGGTCAAGTTATATATTCTTTCCAAACCTAAATTTTGTCATCAGTGTGTGGAAATGATTCTTTATTCAAAAGATTGTGTGACCTTCACACAAGATCAGTACTTAAAAATATATAAAATACTTTAAAAGCAAAACCGGATAATTGAAGAAATAAATTCTGTTCTATGCCTTTCAGTAGGATTTAGTAGGGAGTTAGATGAGAGTTTTTTTTTTGTTTTTGTTTTTAATGTTATTCATGGGCTACACATCCACAAATGACAAGATATATGTCAATTTCTCAAATACTTACAGTGGTGATTTTTTTCACCTTTGCCTTATATTAAACCTATCTTTAGAAAGATAGCCTATCTCATAAAAGAGTAATATGCAAATTGACTATCTTTCCAACACACAAGATGGCTGCCCCCATGTGGTCAAAGATGGCTGCCTCCAAGGGGACACAAGATGACTGCCACAAGATGGCCAGTAGGGAGGGCAGTTGGGAGGAACAAGGCCTGCAGAGGAGGGCAGTTAGGGGTGACAAGGTCGGCAGAGGAGGGAAGTTGGGGGCGACTGGGCCTGCAGGGAAGGGAAGTTTGGTGGAACCCAGGCCTGCAGGGGAGAGCAGTTGGAGGAGAAACATACCTGCAGGGGAGGGCAGTTAGGGGTGACCAGGCCTGCAGGGGAGGGGAGTTAGGAGCAATCAGGCTGGCAGAGGAGTAGTTAGGCATCAATCAGGTTGGTAAGGAAGTGATTAGGGGGTGATCAGGCTGGCAGGCAGAAGCAGTTAGGGGCAATCAGGAATGCAAACAGGCAAGCAGTTGGGAGCCAACAGTCCTGGATGTGGGAGGGATGTCCGACTGCCCCTTTAGGCTTGATCCTACTGAGATCGGGCCTAAACTGGAAGTTGGACACCCCTGAAGGGATCCCAGATTGGAGAAGGTGCAGACTGGGCTGACCCCACCATACACGAATTTCGGGCACTGGGCTTCTAGTAACTTATAATGAATTAGACTCAAGATTATGAAGCAAATATTTCTTCCAATATGGTGAATTCATTTCCAAAAGACAGGAGGTACAATCTAATATCCTATTTTATTCACTCATTAATTCATTATTTCACAAATAAACATGAAACTTTTATCCTGATAGTATATAGATAGAAAAATAAGTGGAAATAAATAGTTAATATAGATAGTCTCTGATTTCATGAAACTTACAAATTTAAAACTCTGCGTTCACAAGTCTTAGAAAGTAGCCAAGAATAAATGGTTTTGTTTTTACTTGCAAAAGAATCTGGGAATTTAAATTATTAAATTAAAAAGGTTAAGCTCCATATAAATAGAAAAAGGTCCAATAAATACTGGTTCTAACATTAGTCCACTTATTTTTAAGAATTGTGACTTGTGTTATAATTAAGGCAGGAACCTAACGGTCTAAGTATCCTTGTCTCCGGCACTTCAGATACAAATCAGTCACAGGAATCATTATTTTCTTTGAAAGGTTTTCATTTTGTAAGATATTATATTCTGATTCTAACACAGAAGTATCTATTTAGCTCAGTCTGGAGAAGCTATTGTAATTTGATTAGAATTGGCAACTACAAAAACTCCTACAATTAGAATCATTTAGTTTTATTGTAGTAGCTTCAAAGACATTCACAGAAAATAGATTTTATTGTTATATTGGAGCTTCTGTAAATAGCAGAGGTGGGATACAGGTATGAATATGACACACTTAAAAAAATAACTGTATTATACTTTTACTAAAGATAGGTTTATGACTGGATTTCATCCATGATAACCCAAATTATTGAATAAATGAATAATAAATGAATGCTCCAATCCCAAGTGAGCTGTTGCAGAATTAGTTGGAATAGATGAGCAACTTTACATATTTTTATTGGACAATATTTCTTTAAATTGGAGGTGGCCTCTCTTTTGAACATTTTAATTTATGTACTCCACTTTTCATAGCCCTCTTTCTAAAGTATAGACTCATTTGTTTGTCATCAACAGATGTTTTGAACTTCTTGTCATGAAATCTTTGAAAAAGCAATAGCTGACAGAGCTTAGACTATAAGACAGTGTCTTATATTAATTTTTGTGCCCAAAGATGTGCTAGGTCTTATTTTCAGGGGATGTCTTATTTTTCCATGAAGAAGAATATGGTACACTTTTATTGTTGAATGAAAATAAAGGAAATTTATTACCTGTATACAGTACGGTAGTACGGTAGTTGTCAAGACAAACTGTGAATCCTACAGTATCAATAATTTTTTCATTTATTCAATGACAATCATGTCATCATCTTCTGGAACATCATCATAACCATCCAATTCCTGAATTTCCTGGTGAATTTCTTGTGATTCCATTTCTTTCAGAATCAGTGGACCAAAACTCTCATGTTTAGCCTAGGGGGGGTCTTATTTTTGGGGGGATGCCTTATATTTCACTCAGAAGGAAACCTGTAAGTAGGTCTTATTTTCAGAGGATGTCTTTTTTTTTCGGGAAACATGGTAAGTGCAACATGGAAGGAGACTCTTGCTACAGGACCAAGGATGCCTTTTTTCCATGTTGCATCCCAGGCACCTCACTTGCCTCACCCTAGTTCCAGCTGTGGCTCAGAAACTAAGGATTCAGGTGAGGGAAATGCCCAAAGAACTGGCACTAGTCTTGGCCTCATGCTTCCCTCTCTAGCTGATGATGCCTGGAGTTTCTATCTAATCAGGCTTAGCCAGACTTACTGCTGTCTTAAAGGCTAATTTAGAACCCACTTCTGTGGAAATAGAAAACATTCCTCTGCCCTCACATCCTCTTTAGAAGTTCTTAATAGTTCTGATTTGT